CAAGTCTTAATCCCTTTCTTGCAACATGGTTTTCCAATTTCAATGGATTGCATGAAGCCGAGATTTGGACTCCATATTTAAGAATTTATTATTGAGTTCCAAATAAAAACACACAAAACTAACTGAACTGAGCTTCCAATAGTGAATGATGTAGTAGAGGTTAAGATACAATGATGTCGGTATAAACAAATAGTCAGTAGCGTCACCCGTGAGAAAGTCATTCATTAAGTTGTGCGACTCTTTTTAAATTGAATAGAAATTCATAGATACTATTATTAGTACAAAAAGTACCATTGATACAATAATTGTTAAACAATTTTTAAAAGAATATGAAAATAAATAAAAACGTTTATTATAATTGTTTATAAGTAGACTTAACGTTTACTTATTGATTTTAAACAACTATTAATAATTAAAAAGTATTAAAATTAATTTAGTGACAAAAATTGGTACTTCTAATGATTTATAGAGAAAAATTTTTTTTTAAATTTCAAAAATAAAAAAAAAATAGTAATTATGGAGGGCCCACGACCGGACCGGTCCTAAAAGTTGTTAAAAGAATAGTAGTTTGAAATAGAAAATTTTCACAAAAATCGAAAGATACACTCACTTTCAAAAACACGATTTAAAATTTCAAACTCAAAAATCTTAATCAAAACCAGTTTGAATATTTTTTTTTGTATTTTTTTTCTGTAAATGCCATCTAAAAACAAAGATTTTTTAAAAAAGCTTTTATTTGGACCATTATTAAGAAAGTTATGAACAAAAACCAAAAAAGAAGCGATTTTTTAAAAATTTTTATGTCTTTTGAACAAGTAATCCAAAAAATCTCAAAACTTATCAGAGGCTCTTGAAGGGTACTAAAAAATATAAAAAAAATGATGAAATCAAAATTTTTCAAACCGTCCGATTTAGCCTGGAATGCCCCATATACTCTTTTATAACAAATAAATGAAATTGGAAAATAATATCGGAAATTTTTAAGCAGTAGATACAATAAAAAATATATTTTCTTACATTTCAAACTTTGTTAATGGGTACATTTTAAGGAACTTGGTATATTTAATACCACTTTTTTAAATTTTATATTGTAAAATTTATTCCTGTCTAATGACTCAGCAGCAACAAACGCAATATTTGTACTGTGTAGATAATTTTACTGTTTTCAGCAGGCGAGAAAATAATGTGACGATCTACTTTTCTAATCTACGGCTCAGATCTGCAAAAACGTCGCATTTTTCGTTAAATTAATGACCGCTCATTTAAGTTAATAAAACCTACAGTAATACTAAAATTTACATGCTAGATCGCCCTATTTTCATTTACATTTCCACCATCACGCGAAATTTATACAGTTTGTAAATATAATTAGATACAGAGTAGCCCAATTTTGTCACGTCGCTAACAATAACGGAAACACTTCGTACGATTATTTTAATAAATGCTTGACAACAATTCGTGCGCAATACGAAACGTTATACACGAAATAAATTATATGTTAGAGTAATACTTTTTATTATTTCGGCTTGGGGTGCTCTGTATTTGTTTATTTGTTTTTAAGTTAAAAACTTTTAACAATCTAGCCCACTTGAAAGTTTAGTTTCACTCAAAAATATAAACATGAACACATTAACAATCTGGCTGAGCGCTCTACGAATATCGGTCACCCCATTTAGTCGAAAAAAAAATGTGTTTCTATTTCTTTTAATTTTTTATAACCTTTTTGTTGAACTTCACTAAGGAGCAATCTGGTAGAGGAACTTGAGTAAATATTTTAGACAATCTTTGAGAAACATTATCAGTTAGGCAAATGCAATATACTTGTAAATATGTATACATCCATAAAACTTAATTAGTAAATATTTGTCATTTTTGCACAGTTATCAAAGCCAGCTCTTTCTAAATTCTGATACGCATTACAGAATAGTAATAAACCATCCCCTCTTCAGTTTTGTTTAATTCCTAGGCATGAAGTAGCGGATAAAGATCTTACTATTCTAATTCTTTGCAACCCCCACTTACATCATACTCTTCTATTTCTATTTTGTAGCTTTTCTTTAATAACTTTTATTCTATATGTTGCGAAAATAATAAAAACGCCTTCTTCAGACTGTCTGGAAGGGTAGAAAGTGCTGCGAGCGAATCAATATCAATACTATGACCCTCTGCTTTCAACTTTCTCGTTTATTTGGCAGACAATCTGCGCTTGGAATTTTTATATTATTGAAAAGACTGTTATTCCTATATTCTTTATTACCTGCTCCAATTTTCTATTCATTAATATTGTCTCACGAATATTCTCTCTAACTTTTTCAATTTTCACTTCATTAGATTTGACATTTCTTTTTTGCAGTAAGTGTTCATTAAGAATCTTGTATTTTGTAATAAATATAGATTTCTGTTTTAATATTTATAAACATTATGCAATTATTCTTTCATTTACTTGTTTTCTTAATTAAAATTAAGTATATTAATAAATTAACATACTTACCCTAAAAAAAATAAATTTTCTCAAAGATTACCTAAAGTTGCTCCTTTAGAAATTTCTTGTATAATATTTTCATTTTCCGAAATGGTCCTTAAGGTAGGTATTTTGAAAGGTAATTAGTTAAATTTTATAGAAAAGAATGATAGAGAGAAGGGTGAGATTGTAGCTTTTTAAGAATCTGTTTCTATAATTACTCTGGAAAAGCAGATAACGACGATTTCTAATTTAAAAGCATTTGAATTATTTTATTTTAAATTCTTACCTAGTAAGGACCACATTACCTAATGCAAATAATGCATTTTTAATTAATTAAAAACGCACCTCTGTGTAAAATAAAATGATGGGGCACGGGCATTTCTTATCTTTTATGTAAATGTAACAAAATTGTCGAAATAATATCGAAAAATTTATTTTAACAGCTTCATATTCTTGCATAGATCGCGAAAAAATACGATATACTCGTTTAACTATAAATTATCAACTTTTATATTGTCATGGGTTTCTGATTTTCCATGCATATATAAAAAATATGTACGGGATGTGTTTCTGAAAAGCTACTAAATATTATACAGTTTGTTCTGCTTAAAAACTATCCATTTCTGTAACATTTTTGTTTATCGGTTGATATCAATAAATAATTTTCTTCATTATATAGATTTAAAGAAAAATATCTTACGGATTTTTACTCAGAATGACTTAAAATACAAAAATTGATAATTTTTGTAATATATACTAATATACAACGTATTTTCAATAATTAAGAGCTGATTTTTAGTTTCCATAAGATATTTTTAAAGAAAGAGTACAGCATTTGAATGTTTTTGGCAGTAGGTACTATTTTTTCTAAAATTTTCGGGTATTATTTAATCAACATTTGTTTTTAACTTTTCTTTTAAGCAGCTTTAAAAAACTGCAATAACCTCGTATATAATAGCAAAAAAACTTTTGTTTTGACTGGGAAAGCTCTGCCAAAATATTTGAAAACTCGTTGCTTGTTACTTGAAAACATTTTATAGATATATGCAATCGTTTTCAAAAATTATTTGAAGCACACTACTACAAAAATCGGTGTTTTTGTGTTTCAAGTCGCCCCGAGTAAGAATCCATCCGGTGTTTTCTATGAATAAATCCCTAAGAGGTAGAACGTAAATGCTACATATTCAATGTTTGGCAATCACACAATTTTTACACTGATTATATTGCGGAAAACAGCTACTCTGCCGACTAATGCCCTGAGCAGCATTGAAAATACCTACTAGATATTGCTGGTATAATTCAATGCTGGTCTGAATAGTTGATTCAACGTAATACCATCAGTTTAAAACCCTAACAGTTTAAATGTCACAAAAATAACAGTGGTTGTTGGTCATAGCTTTGAATTATTAAGTGGATGTTACTAAAAAATCATTAAAATCAGTTAATAAATAAAAAAGTTGCAGAGATCCGTAAACGGAGCAATCTGAAAGCAATCAAGAAATGATGACCAAATTCTTAAAACAAAAAGATTTAAAGGCTTAATCAACATTTTTTTATAAAAAAAGCCACTAATTATGAAGATTATTGATTATCTTTTGGGCATGTTGTGAAGAGATTTATCTAAATTCTCATAAAAAAATTTCGCAGGAAGGCCAAAATGATGAAATGATGTTCAGATGATCTAGAACACCCCATTGAATAATTGGGAAGCTTGGACAGGTTCCCGGATATTCTGTTATGAAACCTTCTCTATTTTATTTTATTTTTATAAACCCTAAAATCTGAATTTTTGTAGTCAGTTACATTCTGTACAATGTTAAATTATGTACAATGTTCTGTACAAGTTGTAAAGATCCAGTAAATCTACATTTTTTAATATCGTGCTATTATTGCAAATGTGTAACCTTGATCTTAACACCATGAAAATCAGTGGCATCAACTTAAAAGAAATATTCGTCGTCATCTGGAACTACCACACCCCGACGAAGCTGCGTTTTGATTTGCAAACTGAATATGTCGCAATCCTTCCAGAAAAAATTCAAACAGAGATGGCATTGTGCAAGAGTACAAGAGAATCTGATTAATTACTCCATAAGGTGTTTCGAATTTAGATCACCAAAACACCATTTTGGTTCCCCGTTTTTTTTTCAAAATTGGAAAAGTTTATATCAGATATAATTTCTTAACAATATGCCAAATATTTATAGAATTTATGTCGATTTACAAAATTTCTTGAATACTAAAATTCCAATACTGGTGGCCATTTTTTTGACAGTGAATTTCAACAATTGTACCCAAATTATTATTATTTACCACTTAGAGCACAGTTTGCTTTTTGAAAGAAAAATGTCCTACCTCATTTTAACATCTCTCTTTATTCAAATTATATTCCCGTATGTTTGCACGATCTATGCAGAGTAAGAGACTGGATTATTTGAACTACCTAATCGAACTGAGTGTAAGTAGACGTTTATACCTCGCAGGGTATCGTAGGCATCTCAGCCAGACTCAACTTCACTACAGTCACCTCTTTACGTCAAGCGACCGTCGTGCCGGTATTACAGGGAACTACAGGTACGGTTTGACAACCCATCGTCGCCATGTTGTTAGCTACAATGTTGCCGATGCCGCAGGCCTTCAACTCGGTGAATATCTCGGTGAAGTACCCGGGCTCGGCGTTAATTCTTAACATATTCGAAGAAAGTCTATTAACTATATCTAAACATCGGTCCCAGAACTTCTCCTTGGAATCCTCCACCAGAAACGGCTTCAGAGGGTAGGAGATCTCGTTCCCCATGTACGAGTAAGACAGATAAAGGCAGGTGAGGACTACGGCTTGAAGGTCCCGCTCGCAATCTATGTCGCTCTCCACGAGGTCTCTGACGAGCATGTAGACAAAAACGACGTTGGCAGGGTTGATGAAGGCCACGTCCTGGAAAATAGGTTTTCGTTAATTAGGGTTTGTGGAACGGCGACGGGGTAAAAAGTGTCGCGCAGAATTTCATTAACAAGGGGTCTGGTACAGGCTCTAATTTTTTTCGGGCCACCAAAACAAGGTCCGAATGTGCCGCGAATGCAAATTCGTTTGGGGTTGCTCGAATAATGGAATTAATAGTATTCTCAGAATTATAAATTTTATTTACCTCAATTCAACATTTCATTCCCTAACAGCATGCAGTATTTTTAAACTGTTCTTAAATGATTTAAAAAGGTTTACAATATTTTGAATTTTACTATATTATCGGATAATATTCTCAATAAAAAATATGTATATGTATTGTAAAGATATGTTAAATAATTATTAAAATATTGTAAATTAACTAAATTAAGGCCAGTTTCATAATAAAGCAAAATGAGTTTTAAATTTAATGGAGCTTTAAAACCTAATCTTGTTAAATAAACCAAAAGAACGAAATGTTCAACTTTTTATGTAAAATAATTATAAGTAAAAAAACAGTAGATGAAGTGTTTTAGATGTTAAAGATCAGCGATTACAACAACAGAATACTAGGCTTCAAGCCCGATTTTAAGATTCAGTGGATTGTGTGGGTTGTACCGAAGATAATTCTGATTTAGTTATTAATCATAAGTTTTACAGCAAACATGCTTGCGATGTATATGCATTGTATCCCAAAAGTATGGAAACCCCAGAATAACTCGGAAGTAAAGGGCTATACGGAAAAACTTTTCATATAAAAGTGTCAGGATTTTTTCCGACCTATTCAATGATGACCTTGAATTTGGATTTGGCCTTGACCTTTAAGGTCTATTCAAGGACAAGTTCATTTGTTCAAATGGGAACCATGATCTCAAGGTCATGGTCAAAGCCATATTAGGACGTAAAATTTTCCGCTCTTTGCAATGGCGTGATAAATTGTAGGCGTTTCCATTTGAAAATATGACATTGACCTAGAAATGACCTTCAAGGTCAAGGCCAAGGTCAAATTCAAGATCATCATTGAATATCCCGGAAAAAGTCCTTAAACTTTTGTATGAAACGTTTTTCCGTATAGCCCTTTACTTCTGAGTTATTCTGGGGTTTCCATACTTTTGGGATACCCTGTATTATTAAAGAAGGTATTAAGCTGATTCAAATAAATTGAATTCTTTTTTCTAAGAAAACTTATCAAAAGAAGTTAAACAATGTTTTTTTATACCAAAAATCGAGGTTTGCAATCATATATAACAACAAAGATACAATTAGGAATTTTTCGCGAGTTTCCGTTCATGACCGTCAGAATCTTAGCGGTTCATCCCCTCCTTGTCACTGAACAAAAAATTTTTACTCTTGTTTGCTCTCAAAGCGAATTTCGCGAAAATGAGACGGTAACCGGTTGTTTGTTTGTTTTTCGTTTTCAGGTTATATTTTTCCTCGAATTTTTCGATTTTTTTTAGTTTTACTGTTTGAAGACTTCGTTTTCGATAGCTCTGTGGAAATTGGTAACAATTTCGTAAGGCAGCAATACCTCAGAAAATTTTATATAAAACTTAGAGAACAACATATCCGCCATGACCAATTGACCATCACATTTGGTTGGATAGATACCAGGAACACGTATATTTCCAGTTATTTCGAATGAAGAAAGAAGCAAATCATAAACTGTTGAAAACAGTAATAGAAAATGATACTCCATGTTTGATTAAACCATTCAACAAAATATTAGCTGTTTGCACTTGCAGATCTGTAAGGACTGTATAATCGTCTCCTAAATAATTCAAAGTAATTGGAACGTGTTGTCGTTTTCCGATTCCATTTTCGTTTTCTCTGCGCGGTTTGGGTATGTATTATAATAATACAAACAATAATTTTTATTCTTGTAGGCCAACCAACGGCTAGCTCAAACAACCTGTGACCCTGTGACCCTTGAACCGACCATCTAACCCCTCCCCTCCCATGTACTCCCACCACCACATGATACATATATGTAGTGGATGCGTATGCGCACCTTTGGCCGATAACGATTGCCATATTTATTCACTCCTATGCAAGTCTGGACAAATCTTGGCATATAAAATACATTACTTGTCAGAACATATATCAGTTCATTATTAGCAGTGTACTTCTTGGTTTTCCTTTGTGTAAAAAAGTGTAGTGTTTTGTATAAAATATTGTTTGAACTAAAGTTTTTTGTAATGCATAATAGTTATTTTTTTGGATACATCTAGTGCCGATATGAGGTAAGAGATTTTTGAGTTGTATAGAAGCTGTAGAGGTATAATTTTGTCAAAATAGAAAATGAAAAGGGCACTAACCACTAAAGAGTTACTTGCTTTGTTAGAAGAGGATTCAGATTGTGAAAATGATGAATTGGTTGATGTTTCTTATGTGCCGCCAGAAACAGATGAAATTACAGATGAGGAAAACTTTGATGAAAATATTATTGGAGAAGAAGGATTGCAGACGGATATTGCAGGAGCGTATGAACTAAAACCAAGTATAGATAGTGATGATGATTTGGATGATGACGTTTTTATTTTATTTTTTTGTTAAAATGTTCAAAGTAAGCTAGAAGCAAATGCACTTTACACTGTGCACACAACGAAATCTCAGCTAAAATTTCTTTCGGATTTAGCACTCTCTTTAGATACAGAAACAGTGATGTTGCTTCAAATACCGCAGTATTGAACTGAACCCATGGAAGACCCTTTCAATCCGCTCTACCAGGTGAAGTCAAATTTGACAATATCGGGCATATTATATTATAGAGAGGTTAATAGTGCAAAAAAAGTGTCGATTTCGCAAAACTAATACTACTCGTACTTATTTGTGTAAAGTGCATTTGCATCCAGCTACTTTGAAATTTTTCACATAAAAAACAAATTTAGTTTTATTAATTTTAATAACTGTTTTCAGCCAAAGGTACGTACGTATACACACCTACGTGTTTGTTTTCAAAATACTGTTTACGATTTTTGTCAATAGTAAATTAGTCTTAATGTATGTGTTTTGAATATACTTTAATAAAAAAAATCATTACAAAATGTGTTTTTCTTGTTTTGGCCAGTAATGGATTTAATAAATAAGATAATTTTGTAGTACTCTTCCTTTCACTCTAAATAATTTTATTTGACAGTTACCGAGTTTGAAAATATCTTTTATTAATTTTCCCTCGTCACTTTATTTGTTCCACGTGAATGTAATAAAGGCGACGCGACGGGCAAATTAAATTGTGAAATATAAGGAAATATCGTAAATTTTCCTATACAATAAGGCACACACGGCAAAGTGAATTTGTGATATAAACAGCGCCTAGTTCGGTATGGACTTTATTGCTTTGTTATTACAGCCATGCTAGGAAATAAATGAGATACCTGCAATAAGATAAAAATAATAGAAATTCTTTCGTTCATAGTCAGGATAGGAACTTGGAACAAAATAATATGCTCCCAAAATTTTTATTGTTTCAGGAAAAAATAAAATATGTACAGGATGTAACAAAAATGTTTTATCTAATCTTTATGGTCAAAAGTTAATGAAAAAAGTCACAAAACGCTTCGTTTTCGAAAAACAGAGTAATAAAAACTCAAATAACTCTTACCTGTTTTATAAGTACAAGAAAATAAACCTATTTCATTCAATTTTGGTGTGCAGCTGTAGCTTCTAATAATTCACAGATTTATATACATGCCACAGTTTTTTTATATAAATAGGGGCTTAGTTTCGGAGATGGACTTAATAAATTTATAACGTTATTGTATAAACTAACGGAAAATAGATGCTAAATACAGGGTGATGCTTTTTTTCTGGAAACGGGTCATTTCTAGTTCTTTCTCTTTTTCGTTTCACCGAGACTTCTGCGTTCTATCCTGTAGCTTTTTGATCCCACGATTTTTTATCATTTAGTTATTTGGATGGTATTTGTCAAAATGTGGCTCAACTGTGGTCACATTTTTATGTGACAATTTTTGGCATTGTCCCTGAAATATTCTAAAAAAACATTTTCTTTACTTCTGAATATGTTCTCAAAATAGATATACGGATTATTATGTTTTAATATTTTAGTTTAATACAAAATTAAACAATTCAGTGAATCTATGCAATACAGGGTGTTTGTAAATAAGCACGAAATATTTTAGAGGGTGACTGTAATTATTTTGTGAAAAAAAGTTCATATAAACGTAGGTCGAAATATGCTTCGTTTCCGAGACATAAAGTGTTTAAGTTTTAATTTTTTATTTATTTTTATGAATTACTTCAGTTTTAAAGATATTGACTCGAAATTTGAAAAACGCTTTGGAGGGATAAATGTGCATTTTTTGGGGTGATCCGAATATTTCTACTTGCACCAGTGGCGTTAATGAGAGAATGTCACAACTTTTTCAATAAAAAAAAAATGGTACACCACTGACATTTTCCGTTTTGATATTTTTTAGGAATCCGCCATCAATTCTTAATGAACTATTTTATTGCAAATTGTGTATTTTTCATTTCTATTGATACATTGTCTAGTAGGTTGCTGTCAATATTTCTAAATAAAATACCATCAAATTTCGAGTCAATATCTTTTAAAACTCTTTGAAATAATAATTAATAAAAGTAAATAAAAAATTAAAATTTAGACACTATCTGTTAAACGAAGCATATTTCGACCTACGTTTATATGAACTATTTTAACAAAATAACTTCGGCAACAACCTCACAAAATATATCGCACTTATATACAAAGACCCTCTATCTATTCAATACTAGCCAGTACGGTTTTAGAAATAAGCTTTCGACAACTTTAGCCATAGACAGACTGGTAACGGATATCAATACTGGTTTTGAGCAAAAAGATTTTGTTTGTTCTCAGTTCCTAGATCTGACCAAAGCTTTTGACTCTGTATCTCACCCAATGCTGATAGATAAATTGTCATATATGGTTTCACTGCTCACAGTGTTGGTATCATACATTCATATCTTAGTAATAGGAGACAATATGTTATGCATAA